ACCTTGAAGTTAAATAATGATTTAAATTTACGATATTGATGATCCTTACTAACCAACTCTTCTAAACTCACCATTGTTACTTGCTGCAACGACATTTTATTACCTTAATATTTTCTTTATTATACTACATTATATCACAACTCGCAACAGTCCCATAATAGATAGTCTCTATATAAATTTTTAGATATATCACATAAAATAATATTGACTAATGCAATAACATAATTATGAATAAAAACTTACATTAAAATAACTATAGTTTTTATAAAAAAATTAAGTCATAATATTAGATGAAATATATGTTATTATATTCATGTTAATTATTAAATTCAAACATTTAGAATAAATCTAAATATTTAATATCTTGGGAACAAATGATTACATTATTTGATATAATAGTCTTTATAATTATTACAACGTCATCAATACTAGGGGGTTACAGTGGTATAATAAAGCTTACCATTAGCTTATTAGGATTTTTATTATCAATATTACTAACCTATTACCTATATCCATATGTATTAGAAATTATTATACACTATTCCAAAAATGAGGTTGTGCTAACAATTTTATCAGGGATAATTTCTTATATTATTTCTATAGTAATTTGTACTTTTATAACTTATAAAGTTATAGCTATAATTTCTAATATAAGTGGTGGATCTATTGATAGAATTTTAGGATTGTTAGCTGGCTTTCTTAGAGGAAGCATAATATGCTTATTTTTATTCTTAATTATAACAATATTTACCTCTAGTAATTATTTAAAAGCATTCACATTAGAAGATATTGTTAAAGATACTAACGTTGATAAATATCCAGAGTGGCTAAAAAAATCATTAACTTCACTATACTTAGATAATATTAATAGATCTATAATAGCTATGATCCCAGAAGGTACTTTAAGGACAATTAAATTACCACAAGAATTTAAAGGTAAAAATGTTACAAATATGCTAAACAATACACATAAAAACGATCAATCATTGCAGGCTGATACACTTCCTAGTAATTTAAAACATGAACTTGATGAAATGCTTTCAACTAAAACAAAACACAAAGATAAGTAAAAAAATAATTTATAATTAATTATGAAACTATATAGTATTCAAGAGCATTTTTTAGAATTGAAAACTAGATTATGGCGAATATTTATTATATTCTTTATATTTTTTATTGTTTGCTATTATTTCAGTAATAATATATACGATATTTTATTAAGACCACTAACCAAATTAAGTGAAAATAACGTGAGGCAGGTAATATATACAGGACTTACTGAAGCATTTTTTACTTATATTAAGCTTGCTGCTATTACATCTTTTATAATTATTATGCCAGTTATCGTAACTGAATGTTACTTATTTATTAGTCCTGGACTACATGCAAGTGAAAAAAAAATTGCAGCAATCATTCTTTTTATATCACCTATTTTATTTTGGTGTGGTAGTATCTTTGTATTTTATTTTATAATGCCTCGTGCTTGGTATTTTTTTTTAAGTTTTGAGAATCGTGATAAAGTAGTGCCAATAATTCTAGAAGCTAGAATTAGCGAATATTTAAATTTAGTAACTCAATTAATTATTGCGTTCGGCATATCTTTTCAATTACCGATTATCATGATAATATTAAATTTATTAAAAATAGTAAAAGTAACAGACTTAAAAAATAACAGGAGATTATCTATAGTAATTAATTTTATTATTGCAGGAATATTGACTCCACCAGATGTGTTAAGCCAATTCTCTCTTGCAATACCTATGATTTTATTATATGAAGTCTCAATTTTAATATGTCAATTTGTAGAAAATAGAGGAAATTAATGCTAGATATAAAGTGGATTAGAGAAAATAAACAAAAGTTTGATAAATTACTAGTTGAACGAGGTATTGCTCCAATGTCTAGTGAAATCGTTAAATTAGATGAAGAAAAAAGACAATTAATTAACTTGATACAGGAATTTCAACGAGCCAAAAAGAAAAAATCTGATCCTAAATTATTTAGTAGTGTGTGTAGTCAAAAAATTGAAGAAGCAAAACGTGATATCGAACACATAAATGAAAAACTAGATGAACTTAAAGGTAAGTTAGCAAATAATCATCAATTAAATGACCTGTTGGAAATATTACCAAATCTTCCTAGTGATGATGTGCCATATGGTACTGATGCAAGTATGAATGTATTAATTAGAAAATTTGGTCAAAATATAATAAACCCAGTAGCAAATAAACAACACTTTGAGCTAGGTGAGACTCTAGGCGTTATAGATTTTATCCAAACTGCTAAAATATCTGGTAGTCGCTTCGCAACTCTTAAAGGTAATTTGGCGAGATTAGAACGTGCTCTGATTAGTTTTATGATTGATGTTCATACTAAACAATTTGAATTCATTGAATTATCTACACCATATTTAGTGCGTCCAATTGCTATGTATAATAGTGGGCAATTACCAAAATTTTCTCAGGAATCTTTTGTAACAACAGATGGTTATCGATTAATTCCTACTGGTGAAGTGCCGCTTATCAATATGGTCGCTGATACTATTATAGCTAGGGAAAAATTACCTATACGCTATGTTGCATACACACCTTGTTTCAGGTCAGAAGCTGGTAGTGGTGGTAAAGACACAAGAGGAATGATACGTATGCATCAATTTGGTAAAGTTGAATTAGTAACAATAACTACACCTGAAGAATCTCAAAATGAGCATGAATACATGACTAATGCAGCAGAAGAAATATTAAAACAACTTAAGATACCTTATAGAGTTATATTACTTTGTACTGGAGATATGGGATTTTCTGCTCAAAAAACTTATGACCTTGAAGTATGGTTACCTGGTCAAAGTCAATATCGTGAAATCTCAAGCTGTTCTAATTGCGGTGATTTTCAGGCAAGAAGAATGAAGGCTAGATATAAAGAATTTCATAGTACAGAAACTACCTTTGTTCATACTTTAAATGGATCTGCTTTAGCGGTTGGTAGGACAATAGTTGCAATTTTAGAGAATTATCAAAATGAAGATGGGTCTATAACAATTCCAGATGTTTTAGTAGATTATATGGGTGGAATTAAAAAGATTGATGTTTATAAAGACTAATAAATATTAATATAATTTAATAATATGAGGTATATATTTATATTGTAAGGAATATGTGGTAAAGAAAGTTAACTTATAGAAATAGGAATATTTGTGTTCAAAATTAATAGTAGCTTAAGAAAGGCTGACAAGCATTTATATAATAACTCTGCAGAAGATTTTATACCAATTGCATGTCATTATAATGAGAATACTTTGCTAACTAAAAATGGTGAACTGTTGCAAATAATTCAGATTTATGGAATTAATTCTGAAAATATTAGTGATAGATTGTATAATTTGCGAGCAATGGTACGTGATTCTATTAAAAAGAATGTAAGTAGTAATAATTTCGCATTTTGGGTACATACTGTCAGACGCAAAACAAATTTAGATGATACAACCCCTTATAAAAAATTATTATCTGCTAATATTCATAATTTATGGCAAAAAAAGAATTATTGGAATGATAAATTTGTTAATACTTTATATATCTCAATAATTTATGACTCTGCTGCAATTAAGGTAAAGAATTTTAAATCTTTAGTTAATTCTTTATCCTTCAATACAATTGCAGATTTTCAAAATAAATATTTAGACGATGCTTTTAAGAAATTAAATAATGTTGTTGATAAGATAATAATAGATCTTAAAGAGTTTAACGCGGCAAAATTAGGAATACGTTTTGAAGGAGAACAATCTTTTTCTGATCCTATGTTTCTATATTATAGAATAGTCCATCTTAGCGAAGAATATTGTCCTGTACCAATTGTAAATTTATCAAGTGCTTTAGCTTCAAATCAATATGCAGTTGGAAGTGATAAAATTGAGGTAATTAGTGAAGATAGTAAAAAATTTGCAGCAATAATTTCGATAAAGGAATATAAAGAAAAATCTTATACTGCATTTGATGATTTTCTACAATTACCACTAGAATTTATAGCAACAGAAATATTTTACTTTGTTAATAAAAAAGATATAGTATCAGAACTTGAAGAACAAAATTATATTTTAAAGGTTAGTAAGGATTCTAAATTAAGTGAGATTAAAGGAGTTAATAAATTTATTGATGTTGATAATTCAATAAAAAATTATTTTTGTAAACAACAAATTTTTATCACAATTATAGAGTCTGATATAGCAAAATTAGACCGTTCTGTTATTAAAGCATCTATAGAACTTGCAAAAATTGGTGTTGTACATATTAGAGAAGATATTAATTTAGAACAAGTTTTCTGGGCTCAATTATCTGGCAATTTTTCTTTCGTACGAAGAATGATACCTACGATTTTGGAAAATACAACAGCTCTTGCTTCTTTACATAATTTCCCTACAGGGAGTCAATATAATATTTGGGGTAAAGCGATAACTTTACTGAGAACAGAAAAAGGTACTCCATATTTTATGAACTTCCATACTAGAAATAATAGAGGTAATAGTTGTATTTTTGGTACATCTAAAACAGGTAAAACTATATTAACAAACTTCTTACTTTCAGAAACTACTAAGTATGATCCAACAATAATATATCTTTCTAATGATAATGATTCAAAAATCTTTATTGAGGCACTTGAGGGCACTTGGTTAGAGAAAGAAAAAAATGTGATCAACCCATTTTTATTAGAGGATAATCCAGATTCAAGGCAATTCGTTTATGAATTCTTAAAAATAATTTGTAACCATTATATAAACCCTATAACTGAACCAGAATTAATTTTTTTAGAAAAAGTTACAAATCAAATCTTTACATTAAATAATGATAATCGTAATTTTTCATCTATTCTAAAAGCAATAGATTTTTCTTTAGAAGGTGGAGATTTAATTAAACTCAAGTTAAATGATTTCTTTGAAGGTGGATTGTATGACGGTGTATTTGATGATACTAAATTCCCTTTATCTGAAAAAGGAATAATAGGATTAAATTTATATTATTTTACAGAACAATCTTTTATTGAGCGTTTCTATCCATTAGAAAGAAAATTTATCGACCAATTTACAATAAATCTAGCTAAACATAATAGTATATGCACAGGATTAATATATGCTTTAAATTATCATTTATCTATATTAGGCAAAAGTGCTAAAATACTAGCAATTGATAATCTTGATTCTCTATGTAAACCAGAGATTTACAACAAAGTTATTAGTACAATTTCTGACATATTAATGAAAAATAATGGAGTTATAGTGAGTAATTTCAATTTTTCCTATCTTCAATCATCAGAAAAGCATATTATTCAAAATTGGTTAGATTTAATTGACACTAAAATTATTTTACCATCAGATGTAAAAGTTGAATATTTAGATACAATTTTAGGCTTAACTAAACCAGAAATAGATAAATTGTCTAAATTTACAGTTGCATCTAGAATGTTTTTAATTAATCAAAATGAGCAATCTATTGCTGCAGAACTAAGTATTGGTTCCTTAATTGGAATTATTAGGATTTTATCAAGCCACTTTGATGAATTAACTATTTATCAAAAAATATTGCAAGAATATCCTGGACATCCTGATAACTGGATTAGTCACTTATATGATGCGTTAAATCATATATAATATCTGGATAAAAAGAGGAATGAAGTGCTAAGAAGACATTATATATCATTGTTTTTATTATTAATTTATTCATGCAATGTATATGCATCAATTTGGGATGAGATTGCAAAATGTCTAAGTGATCCATGTAACTGTGGACACGATCCCATAACTGAATATTGGGATGGTAAACCATATCATAAGGATATTAAGACTGGAGCAAATTGTCCTCCTTATAATAAAGATAGCGGACGTTATATTAGTACTACTAATAGACGTGAAGGTAATTGCTTAGTACAATTTGATTATCCTGGATCATGGATTGGATTCTATCTACAACATTGTGCAGAAAGTACAAAAGCAAGTTCATATTTCGAACCCAAAATTCGATTAAGAACACAAAGCTGTAATGCATTTGCATGTTGGACACAAACAGCTACTTTAAATTGGGACGGTGAATGCATAATATGGCCAGGAGCATATGGACTCCCATTACTTAGGATTTGTGCTAGGATTGCTGTACCAAAAGTAGCTCCTACTTCATTAAATCCCGATGGCACCCCAGCAGATCCAGGTTATACTCCAGAAAAACACCTAGATGAAATTGGACATACTAGAACTGATGAAATATTTAAAGATGATGATGGAAAAGATATTATGTTTGATAGGCCTAAACTTTGCGCCTATAGTGACCCAGGTCTAGTAAATCTTTTCTCTGCCACTGGAGCACATCTTGATCCATTAGATTGGAATCCTACAAGTCAACCTCTTCATAAAACAACAGAACTACATCCTATTGCAAAAGTATTAAAATTTTTAGTAACAACAGTTCATGATATGAGCCTCCCAGTAATGTTAGGGAAATTATTAGATATGATAGGTGCTGATTCTATCCCTGGTTTAAATGTTTTACAAAAAATAATAGGCGCTATAGGTAAGGTTTTTGATTTTGCTAAAAACCTAATAATAACAATTATAAAAGCATTAGGATCATTAAATGGTGATGTTGATTCTTATGAATTTGGATGTGTAGAACTACCGTACGGTCCATTCCCTCCACCATATTGCTCTGAATTAGGTAAATTTATAGCAACAGCTACTACACAATCCATATGTTATAAAAAATATTCTAGTGGACCATCTAGTGGATCATTTGACCAATCTTCTAAAGTTACCCCTTGTGTTGTATCAAAGTTAAAAAATAACATTGTTAATAACATTGTAAGAGTTAGTTTAAATAATTTAATTCCCATTTGTAAGAATAGTGAAAATCCTGAAACAACAGATAAGTGCGTTATAATACAAGGTCCTTTTTTTTCCTCCGCCCAAGGAATACATACTAGCACTGCTCAACGTGATGCTATAAAACCATGTGCTGGATCATCTGATAAATCACTTTGTGTGAGAACAAAAATTAAACATACATGTAGTGTTTCTAAGAATGGTTGTGAAGATGGATTTAGAGTTATTTATGGACAAAAAATTGGTGATACATCTATCCCTAGTCCCTATTATATAGATGATATACCTGACTGTGGTGGTGGAGGTAATAATACGACATGTCAAGAAGTATGGGGAATAAATGTTGGAGAATTTGCTGATATTAGTGTCCCATTTCCATCTATACAAGATCCAGATGATTTAATGCCATTAACTAGTAATATCCTAACATTAAAAGATAATAATAATAATCCAAGAACTTTCACTGCATCTATTGTTAGAGTTCCTTTCCATGACAGTAATTCAGGATTTCAACAAGAACCTGAAGATATTTGTGTGCTCGAATCTGGTAGTTTAGTTAATTGTAAAAAAAGAGTAAATGACAATTATAAAATTTTAACTTATAATTGCAGTTCAAAATTCAATAATGTTAATTGTCCTAATTATGGGCAAGCGAATTTTTACTATAAACCACAATTCATTGCTTCAATACAAGCTCAAGATGGTAGTCATGATTCAACAAGTTGTGTGGTTACTCCTTTAGCAATTAGTAGTAATCCACTTGCAGACAAAACAGAATCTACAATAAATTTAGCAGGATATGATTTTAGTTCTTTTATGGCTTATATTCCAGATGTACCTCATCCCCCAGATGATGTATATACTGCAATGCCATTTACTGGTGTGCGTTCTATTAACCCATCAACTATTTATGGAAAATATAAAAATAATGGTAAGCCATATGATGATAAAGGAAAGGAAATTAAGGATGCAATATATCTATCTGGATTAGAATATGTAAATGGCAAATATATTCAGGGTGGTACTCATGGTTGTTTGAAACTAAAGGATTCAAACCATTGTGTGCCTACAATTGATGAAACTAATTGCGTACTAACAAAGTTAACAGAATCTGATACAATTAGTTGTCAAACATTTCAAAAAATGCGTGCAAAATACCCTACACTTAGAATGTGTACATTAATAGAAACTGCTGTCTGTAAAAAAAAGGATTCTATACCAGGTAAAAATGGTAAGAA